ACAGGGATGAGATTTTTCCGCTTTTTAGCGGATTTCCGCCTTTTTCACTTCTGTCTCTTGAATTTCAGCCTTATTATCAAAAACTCCGATTTTCTAAAAGTTTCAGTTTTTTAAATAAATGTTTCGCCTTTTCTGAAAATTAAGTCGTTGAAATAAAATAATTATATTTATTTCCAATTTGATATATAGATATAATATATCGAAAGCTATCTTGAAAATTCAAACTACATAGCTGCTAACCCTTCTACATATCTACTTATTTTAGCTTTTACGAGCAGAAAATAAGATTTTCTTAGTTTTCCCCCTTCCGCTAGATAGCTCGTATTTTAATATCAAACTTCGATTTTCGTATTTACCTGATTTAAAAGTTGTTCACTGCGATTCTTATTCACGCAATTTCAATATCGTTCATTGCGTTTCTTATTTACGAGATTTTAAAATCCAATATCGCGATTTGTATTCAGGCATTTTTAAAATTCTATGTAACGATTCGTATTCATGGCGAGTTTATCCAAAGTCGTGATTAATTTTTGCGGTTGTAATATTCAACATCTATTTTCGTACTTACATGTGATTTAAAAATTATCCTTTGGATTCGTATTCACGCCATTTAGAAATTATGCATCGTAATTCGTATCTACGCGATCTGTAAGTTACGCATCATGATTTCTATTTTCACATTTTTGAAATCCAATATCGAGTTTCAATATCGTGATTTATATTCACGCGATTTTGAAATCCAAGATTGCGATTCTTGTAAAAAGTAATTTTTTTTTTGGAATTAGCTCCTATAAATGTGGCAGTTATTCTATCGACGATTATTGCTATATGTAGGCATTACAACATCAGCGAAACTGGATGAGAATATGTTACTGATATTTTTGTTATAAATCACGATTTACTCCCATGAAAATTCAGCTTTTTTGTCTTTTGGCCAATCTCATCCCTGATTTAAGAATACTACGTCAGCCAAGGCAACACACATCTTAGATCAATCTTACTAATACATATTATGCGAGAAATCTTCTTTCTATTATCATTGATTCAAATTAAGTATACAAAACTGTGTAGAATTCAGCGGAAAAAAAATTTTGCATCTCAATCGCGCCTTTATGAAGTTTAAATTTGAAGCATTTGAACACAACACCTAAGTGTAAATATTCTGGTTTATAAAATAAGCCCCTTTATATAATCCAATATTTTCGTAGTGGGCATGATTTTAATAGGAAGCTCCCACTGAACTTAAATAATTACTAATTTATTTAAAGATTATCTAATTATTGATAAAACTAAATTACTCAGAAGTATCTTGTTAAAAGTATTTACTGATTCGAGAGTGCAGTAAATACTTTTAACTTTTTTATTTGCTCAAAATAACTGATTAAGAATGTTTAAAATAAATATAAGCATAAGATATTTTCAACTACTAAAAGCATCTAGTAGTTAAAAATATGCTAATGTATAAAAGTGTCTTATTGTTATTAAAATTTTCAGCTTGAAGTCTTGTGGAGTACTTTAGCTTCTTTCATTGAAATGCATTTTATGGGTCCATATGATTCCGACTTTTTGGCGATTATGAGCCCACTTTTGGAGGCTTTGTTCTCTCATCCAAGAAGACAAATAAAGGACAGGAGCAAGCGATTTTGGTTTTCTACATTTGCACCAGTTTCTTCGTCCCTGAGCTACTCAGAATCCTTAAAGTAATGTCTATGATATTAAAAAAATAAATAAATTGCATTGTAAGTTTTATTGTATGATTTCAAATTCTTAAGTTGTTGCAACTAAAATGCTAATTTGAAAGTGTGTTACTTTTAAAAAAAAAAAGGATATAATTTTTTTAAAAATCATTAACAAGGAGCAAATGATTTTGGTTTTCTACACTTTCACCCAATTCTTTGTCCCTTAGCTATTCAGTGTTATTGAAGTAATAATGTCTATAATATTCAAAAATAAATAAATTACCGTCTTAAGTCTCATTGCTGGATTTTAACCTCTTAAGATTTATCTATTCTCTTCACGCCAGCTGGCATGTATGTCTTTTTTTTCTTCTTTTTTTTTTCTTTTTTTCCAAGTACCCTTGAGCTAGTCTTGAGCCAAAAAGTAAACTCTTCCAATACTGTATTTAAAAGGTTAATTTAAAATTGTGTTACTTCTGAAAAACAGGATATAATTTTTTTTATCTTGTGTTGCAACACTTCAATAAACATTTTATCCCATTTTTGAATCTCTGTTTTTATATTTAAATATTTGTGATGTTGAGATTAAGCTTTAGTTTCGAATGTAAACACACTCTGTTGTGTTAGGCAGTGGCCATCCAACCTTATAGTTCAAGAAACCGCTTGAAATATGTTTAGTTGTTTAGAGAGATTTCAGTTGCATCAAAAATAATACTATTTTTTAAAAAAAATATTTTTGTGCTAGGTCATTTATTACAAAATGTAACTAAACAAGTTTCAAAAATAAATTGAAATGGGGGTATCAAACACAATGTATAATATTTCCTCAAAAACTTTTGAACGAGAATAAATAAAAATGAATGGGAAAAAAAATTTTGATTTCAAATTTGTTGCATTATTTGTAACATTTAAATTTAATTTTGAAACATGCAAGCAACAAAATTTGAATAATTAATTTATATTTGTTGTGTATCAATTTTATATATTTTTATTATAATGTTACTTCTCAGATTCATTAAAGGTTAAGAAATGTTGCAATAGAAGTTTATTTTTAAAGCTTTTGGAAAATAGCATATTAATATTAAAATAATATTAGTATTTATTTTACATGAATGCATGCTTTTTTTTTATGTTAAAATGAATAATTTTAAATTTGCAGCTTTGTGTAAAGTATTATAATTATCATTGCATATGCATTAAATTGGATATGTTTGATACTGGATTATAAAGTGTGAAAAGTTTACAAGATGAAGATTTTAAATATGTACTTTGAATTGCTTATAACCTTTAGGTTTATTATTGTGACACTTAGTAATTATTTGTTAAGTAATTCATGCATTTGTTGATTTAAACATTTGAAAATAAAAATATTGCTCAGAAAAAAAATGTGTGAAGCTTTTAACAGAAAGGAGGGAAATTGAAAGTGTCTTTAATATTTTTATTTAATTATCTTGGTTAAGTTTTATATTACTCTTCTTCTAAATATATAGAGAGATTGTTAATTTTTTTTCATGACATAATGAAAATATTTTTTGATTTAAATGGAGAAAAGGCTTTTACAGGGACTGATAATGACTTTTTTATTTAATTACCTTAGGTTAGTTCTAGATTAATCTTCTTCAGACATATTTTAGAGATTTTTCTTATTTAGATATGTTTAGAGATTGTTAATTCCTTTCAGAACAATTAATAAAAATGTTATCTTACAGAAACATTTTGAAGAAAGCTAAAGTTTCTCATGCACCTGATGAGAATATAAGTACTCTCGAAGAAGTCAGCTATGCAGCTGGATCTGGCACCTTAGAGGTATGTTAACGTTTGTGTCCATTTTGATTAACGTTTGTATGACATGATTATGGAAAGAAATATGCATTTTTTTCTCTTCCCATTTTGTCGTTAATATTCCCTTAATTTGTCTACCTAAATTACATCAAGTATATTGATCTCTAAAACAGGGTGTGTTGCGTTTTTGCTAAAGGTGCTTATTTTTGATTAATGTTTTTTAAAAGCCCTTGAAAGTGCTTTTTTTTATTCGAGGTTTGTAAAAGGTGCTTAATTTTTTATCTTTTAAAAAGAGATTTCTTCTTTGCTGCATCGATCGTCGTTCTAAGTTACAAGAAAAGCACGATTTTCTCTGCAATATTTATCAGAAACTAGTTGTTTTATCACGATTATGTGAAGTTTTTGAATTTTATTGATTTTATGTTTATAAATTAAGAACTTAAAATGATAGAAAAAAATAATGCTTAAAAAATGCTTATTTTTTGTTCAAAAATCTGGCTATACACCCTGTAAAAAGTCAAAGAAGAGAAGAGGTTCTGAAAAAAACCCTGCCTGCAGTAATATTCTGACTTTTTAACAGATTCAGAGTTGCCCTTTTACTGCTTCTACTGTCAACTTTAGGTTTAGCGAGAATCTCCTGTTGGAGAGCGTTTGCACTAGATCTGACTGCATGTACTCTTTTTATAATGCTGTATCAGATAAAATATGAACTAGCGCTACCTGTGCAAATCTACACTTGGTGCAAGCCTTAAAAACCTTCTGTTCTTGTTTATAGGAGTGATAGTTAAAGTGTCTACTGGAAATACTTGATTTGCAAGTTTTCTGACTTCTATAACCCTCAAAAAGTAGGATGTTAAATTTTACTGTATTTTTCATTGCAAATATGATTTTTTTTTAAAATTATTTTTAACAAATTAGGGTCTTATTTCAACAAAAAAAATGCTTTTAGAATTCAGGTTCATCATTTTTTTAATCAAATACTCTATATGTAATAAAAAGAATTTAGCTTGTTGTTAACAATGACATGCATTTCATTTTGAACCTATTTAACCGAAAATTTATAAAATTATTACATTCTGCTTTGAAAAATACCATTTAAAGTTTGCAAAAATATACGTTTATTAATGCGTTTATTAATTTAATAGAAATTTTACAATTGCTTGTGTTATTTTAATTTTTATATGATCTAAAAGTAAAAATAGTTTTGGAAAGCATAACCTCTTAAGTGGGATATCATATTGCATATGGCATCGGAGTGCTGTAAACCCTAGATGTGTCTGTACACTTTGGAAATCCCTGCTTTATATGAAAGTTTTAAAATTTTGTTAATTTAAAGAGAAAAAAAATAGAAGCTTTTTTATTTTATTCTATTTGGTTTTGTCTTGAAAAATGCCCCACCTTTATCTTTTTGTTTTTGTCGTGTTGTCTCTATAATATTGTTTCAAGCTGTTTCATAAACTCGAAGTTTTACCATAGTAAAACAAAGGGTGATTCTTAAGTTAGAAACTCATATTTTATAATTTCTCTTTATAAAATAACATAACCAGCAATAATTTTCACTGATGGTTCCCCTCTCCATGATGTGTAACATAGTTTATTGCTACATATTTCTCTTTTTCTTTCAGGAAAGTTTCATAAATTTTAATAATGTATCATTAAAAAGCACAATTACTAAACCATCTGAAGTATTGACTCCTAAGAAGAAATCTGACATTATTGAAATAAAAAGCACTCCAAAAAGTCAAAACACACAGCCAAAGTCATTGGATTTAAAATCTACTCCTGTTCAAAATATTGATGAGCTTCCAAGCAGTGTAAGAATAATTCCAATAATCTAGTGAACACCTGATTATCTGTTGTTCAGCCTTAAGGCAAAATTGTTTGTGTCATGATTTGCTAATGTAGTTTTTAACCATATATCCCATGTGTTTTTTCTTTCTGCTTTTGGCAATAATATATTCCTTTTTTTTTCATTGATGTATTTGTTAATCCTTTTTTTAGGCCACGGTTTGTATACCTACCACCAAATTTGAAATACTCGCGGTGTACAATTTTAAAATTTTAAATTTTTGTTATCTGTTAATAATTTTAGTTTTGATAAAGTACATTTGAATAAAGTTAGGAACCATTTGCCAATTTAAAAGAATATATAGGCGCTGTCATTTGTGTTCTACTAAAGCATGTCAAAAGAGAACAAAGCCTGTCTGACAGTGATTCTTAAAAACAACATAAATATTCATCTTCACAAATATTTATAATTAATTTCTTTAAAAGAGGCTTGTTTTTTTTCCTCTTTGACTCATTTTTCTAATAACTCTGCAAATGTATAAATGTTAAAAAATTAAAGTAGTTTAAATTTTTAGTTATCCTTAACAGAGCAAAAGAAAAAATTTTTAGGAAAAAAAGAGAGAGAGAGAAAGATAGAGATTTTAACTAATTAGGCGTAACAGAGAAGAAAAAAAAATTTTTTTAGGGTATTCAGGGGTTTGTTTAGACGAAATTTGGGTCCATTGACGGACCCTTCGCAAAATATCTTTTCATAAAAGCGGACCCTTCACAAAATAATTTAACTTAAAAACGGACCCTTCACAAAATGATTTTTCTTTTAATCGGACCCTTCACAAATTTATTTATCTTCATTATTGTTTTGTTAATTGAATAAACCCTTTCCAGGGCAGAAAGCAAGAAAGATGGATGTAAACAAATTAAGTTTTGTCTTCGACAGACGATTCTTCCATTATTCGTCCGAAATTAATATTCTGCGTTCAGCAGTATTCACAAAAACAGACAAGAAGCCATGTGAAACATAAACAAACTANCTATTTGCACAAATTCATAAAAGCAGGATCCTGGTTGAAAGAATGTGAGTAATTTTTTCACAATTTCACAAAAACCGAACCTTTCACAAAATGTCTGGACAGACCCCTGGTATTATTTCAAAGTGTCTGATATTTTTCTCATTCATTCTACTTTCATTTGGAAAATTATTTTCATATTGATGAGCCAAATATAAAATTATTGTTAGTTTACTCCTGGATTTCATTTCTTAATTTGTAAATAAAAATATTAATTAGTTGTTGGCAATATTTTTAATTAGTGTTAATTTTGTGTTTTTAAACTTTCTAGGATTTTATTCAAATTGATGTTCCAATCCAAACAACACCCAAGCGTCGCAGTATTCGAAAAAGGAAAAGGTATTGCCCAAATTAGAATATTTTATACCTGATATTTATAGTATAATAGGTTATAGGAATAAGATTACTAAAAGGAAACGAAATTGACACAAATCTGATAAGCAATTAATTAGAAATTCAAAATCCTGAAACACCAATGAATGAATAAATGAAATTAATGATTAAATTTAGAAAACTTGTTCTCAAAGTATATTAGTTATTTTTGAAAAATTGCTTATTAAATATGTTGATTATCTATTCTAAACAAATAATTCTTTTTTTAAATAACATTACAACACACATTAACTCATGCCCATTATCTTATAACCTTCATGGGACAGCTGACCCAATTTTCAGTTTACCTATACCTATGTCCAACTACTATTACTATAGCTATGCTACTACCTATCTCCAACTCCGTAGCCTTCTAATTTTGAACCCATTCCATAAGACAAGGGAACTCCTGGATCAAGTATTAGGAGAAATTTTCCCTTGTAGAGGACTTTTTGATGGAACTAACTCGCATTTGCATTTTATTAGGAGGAAACCTCCCACTGTTAGCCTGACGGCAAGGGTTATGATCCTTATAACCCATGATCCGTCCACCTCAGAATATTTTACATCAGCATTGTAGTTGTGCGAGTTGGTTGTGGAATTTGTATCGACCAGCCATGCCTGGGATTTAAACCCAGGTCACTTCATTAGAAGGCGAGCACTCTATTCCCTGAGCCATCAAGGCTTTTCATGCCCAATATTGTATCAGCCATCTAACAAACAAAAAAAACTAATATTCTAATTTACAAATTATAGAGATACTGTAGCTTACGTCCAGTTGTTCTTCAGACAAAATAAGTAATTTTTAAAAAAATTTATACCCATTACTTTGTTCCGACGAAAAGTAACATTCTAAAAATTATTATAAATTCAGATTATTAAGTATTCAATATATTGTTTCTTTACTAGGAAAATGTGCCAAAATCACTCATTTATAAAAAATCAGCTGGTTAATTCCAAGCAATCAAAATCTCATTTCAGTATGAAAATTAATATGTGCAAGAATAAAATCCCAGAAAAGACACAACTAAATAAATGAGAAAAATAACATCCTAACTAGAAATAACCATAGGAAAATAAACAGGAATACTGCATAAATTATTTTAAAAAGTCATTCATCCAGAATCAACGAAACAACTTTAATTTTCAAATAATTAATACGAATTTAAATTAAATACATAAGATATAATACAATTTATAAAAAAAAAGTGGGAGGCCAAAGACAATAAAAAGGTACCTGCTCGTCCAATGACTAAAAGGGCAAATGTCCGAAAATTAATTTGCGTTTGACTAGACAGAGGGATTGCAACACTGACAACCACCGGTTGCATTACTTTCAATTTGAAAAGATAAAGGGTTCATATATGATTGGGCCAGCGGCTTCACAGTGCCAAAAGTACTGGTACAAAATTCAATGTGTAAGTACAAATTATTAAGTACGAAAAAGAAAACGGAATTAAAATAAACAAGAAAAATATTCCATTTGTTTCAGTTATAAAATGAAAGCAAAAATACTTAAATGAAAGAAACATAATATTGATAATTAACTCTGTCACTCATGTTTAATAACTTTTCTTTTTATAGTTTTGTTCCTGCATTATATAATGATATGTCACAGTCTCAAGATACAAATACTTTGTTTGAATCAAGTGACTCATTCGAGTAAGGCACTCTTTCTATTTAAAAGTTCAAAATTATTTTTCTTAAAAATAATTCTTACATATTATTTTAGTAATGTTGTGCTGTTACTACTAAATAAAATGATATATTTACTGATATTTTTTATTCATAAAATTATTTCATTAACTTTCATTATCGTTTCTTTATTTTGCAGCATTGGTTCATCATCAGAAATCATGGAATTAAGAACTCAAACGGTGAGAAACACTTATTTCCTTCTCTTGTTTTCAATAAAGTTAATAAAAAAAAGTTCTTGTTGAATGGCTTAAGTATTTTCTGGGAAAAAATAGCAGCAGCATGATAGAATCTCTGATAAAGTAATTAAATACTAAAAATCTCTGTAGGAAGAGTTAATCAAACATAATAATCAAAGGAATGTTGACTGACAAGAAAAATCAGTGTCCATATCACTTTCTAATCCTCCTCTAAGCCACGTTTTTAAAAAAATTGACATTATGCAGAAAAGTAAGATCATATATATATCAGCGTGCATAGCGTTTTTAAAATAGTGCTTATTTCATTGGATGTTTTTAAAAAGTGCTTAGTTTTCCTTTTTCCAAATTGAGATTTTTCGTTTACCATGTTTATTTTCGCTACAAATTATGCAGAAAGACACTGTTCACATTGTTCTATTCAACGTTTTCACAATTAATTTAACTCCCAATGTATTTCGGCTCATCGTCATTCCGTAGCGTATGAAAACGCTATTCGATTTATATAATTAAAAAATTTTAACAATTGTTAAAAACAATGCCAAAAGTTTTTTTTTTTTTTTTTTTTTTTTTTTTTTTTTTTTTTTTTTNAAAACTGTCAATTGTCAAAAATTTTCCAACCATACCTAATTATGATATTTTTTAAAGTGCTTAAAAATGTTATTTGAGTACTTGAAAAGTGCTTTAAAGGTGCTGATTTTTTGTTGAATAATTTATCTACTCACCTTGATATAATTATTTTAAATTTCATTTTTAGGTAATCGATGTTATAAGAATTTTAATATTGTGTCTATGGTTTTTAATAATTTTTTTTATTTACAGGATTTGAATAAACCCGCTGAGCTTGAAACAGAAAAGCCCCAAAATGAAATCCAAAGTGAAGTGTTGGGAACAAAAGATGAGGCTAACAAAATGTCTGTTTCTTCAGTGACCGATTTGAACAAAAATAACTCTTGTGAAATTATCTCTTCAAATAGTGAAAAAGAGGTTGCTGAAATTGCTTTGGTAGCTCCACAAGAAAACATTCCCACAGTTGATCAAAATAAAGAAGCTCCACCTTCACCTGAAAAGAATGGTGCAAATATCCCACAATCGAGTAACGATTTAAACCAGTCTTTCACAGTAATAACTCTTAGTGATTCTGATGAAATAATTCCAAGCTCTCAAAGTTCAGTTGAAAATGAAACTTTCATAAAGTTTCCTGCCATCGAAAGTGCTGCAAAGAGAATTTCTGAACTCCCCGCTCCAGTTGCTCAGTGTGCAGGCCTTGAGAAAGTTGATTCGAATGATTTAGCTGTTTCAGAAGATGTAAAAGTCATTGCAGATTCGCCAGTCTCAAACCCAGTTGAAAATGATGAAAACAATTATGAATGTCCAGAAACACCAATGGATATTGACAACACACCTAATTCTGAAAATGAGGTTGTAGTTACTGAAGAGTCCATGCCATTAAAATCCTCTGAAAATATTCAGAATTCTGAAGAGCAAGGTTTGAAGAACAAAACTTCTCAGAATGGCATTAAGGGTTGGGTAGATAATAGTGATGAGTTACTGAAATCCACTGGAAATTTAAATAAAGATTCTAATTTGATTCCAAATAATGTTTGTGAAATCATTCAGACTTCCATTACAACGATAGATCCCTTCTTATTTGAAAACAAAGATATTATATCAGATTCTCTTGAAATTGATGATATTTCCCTCAAGCCAACCAGAAATACAAAGCGAAACTTGGGTAGAAAATCTCTTGACACTGTTGCTCTAAAAAATACAATTAAGCGCCAAAGTGCAAGGAAATCGTTGCCTGGGACTTTAAAAAGAAAATGTAAACAAGTTTCTTTGGATAAATCTTTGCATAATATTAGTGAAGATCAAAAAGAAGTTGTTGAAGAGTCCCATAGAGTGAACTCAGAAAATATTGCAGTCGAGGCTTCTGATGTACGAAGTGTAGAAGAAGAACCTAATTTGGATGTTCTTTCTTCTGAAAAAGATCTTGATGAGATCAAAGATTCCTGTAAAAATAATTTACCTGAAGTGAATGAAACTGAAACTAATTGTCTAAATGCTAAGAAAAGGGTTACTAGATCATCCCAAATTATTTATTCTGCTCAAACAGAAGAAAATGGTGTGAAAAGAACTCTTAAGGATATTGACATTTCAGAAACAAATATTGAGCATCATTTTGAAGAAAATCTTATAAAAGTCCAAGAAAAACCATATGACCAGTCATCTGCAACAACAACTGAAGAAAAAATGAGTGAGTCTGTTAAGTATGGAGAGTCAAATTCTGTCGATAAAAGAGTTTTGCTAGATATTGAAGTATCAGAATCAATTGCTGTGGACTTGGTACCTAAACTAAAAACTGATGCCATTACTTCAATTGTAGAGGATAATCAATCAAGTAACAAATCGTGTAAAAGAACATCTAAGAGGCTGATTAAAAATGAACTTTTAAGAACTTCTAGTAGAAAAAGTAATTGTATTTCAAAAGAAAAGGTTGAAACAAGCGGTGGTATGTTAAATGAGCCATCTAGTGAGGAAGGTGGAAATAATATAAGTGTGACCAGTAAAAATAAAGAACAAAAGTCTTTGACCGAAATTTCAGAAGTTGTTGAAAATGTTTTAGAGAATGTCACCGTAACTGTTCAAAATGATCTAGATCAAATAACAGTAGTGTCTGATATTGAGAGTAACAAGGTTTTGGACTGTGAGGAAGATACTCCTGATGTTAAAGAATCTGACAAAATGTCCTTTGAGTGTGCCATTGTGGAATCGCCTGTTCTAAAAGATAATTCATCTAAAATTGAAAATTCTGCCATTTCTAATGAGGAAGATGAAGCAAATCCACCAGCTGCTGATACTTTTGTTGTCAGTCTGGAGGAGCAACCTAATGAAATCATCGTATTGTCTGTTGATTCTCAGTCTGAGATTCCTGATACTCCAATAGAAATGTTGCAAAATCCAACTTCAGCTATCACTGCTATTGAGTCTGGCGTAAACGAAGATATTGGTGATATTTCAACATCACAAGAAATGTTGAGCACTGATAAAAACATTAATGTTCAAGAAAGTGGTGAAATTTTTAATGAACTTAGCAAATCTAGCTCTGAACCAGTTGATTCTTTACAACTCCAGTTCTCCAATGATACTTCAGATATTTGTAATGTGAAAAAAGTAAGTCACTACCATATGGATGAATCTGCTGTTATTAATGATTCACCTACTGAAAGTGAAAAAGTGTTTAGTGATGATTTGGAACTGCAAGAGGTGGAAAACGATATATCTGAAATAACAGATGTCGTGAATACAATATTAAAAGATAGTATTTTGAAAGTATCTCAAAGTGAATTGACAGATCCAAATGTCGAAGATCTGTCCCAATTAAATGGTGCTGATGAAGAAAAGGAGAGTGAAGTTAATGATTTACCAAGTCAGTTTGGTTCATTATCTGCCAATGAATTACATAACTTAACAGAGTTTCCGAATTCCATAGATGTGCTCGATTCCAATGAAAAAGAGAGGGAATCTTCGCCAGATTCTGATAACAGTTATGAAAATAAATCTTGTGATATTAATCTAGATCCAGTCTTAAATGGAATTGCTTTATCAAGTGAAATAACATGTTTCCCAGTTCCTAAAAGAAGAAAAAACCTTCCAAACAATGAACAATCGTTTAATCAGGGGGACAGGGGCTCTGCTAAAAAAAGAAAAGGACGATGTCCAAAGCGGTCCCTTTTTAAGGAAATGGAAGGTTCTAAAGTTCTTGTCTCTAAGAATAATCTCAGCCCAGAAAAGCAGCTGCTGACCAGCCCTAAACTAACAATATCTAAACTAGGCAAGAGAAGTATGTCCAAAGACCTTGCTTCAACCAAAGGCAAAAAAATTATTTTTTCGACCGACAATGAAATGTCGGAAAATATTCCCAGTTGTAAAAAGCAGAAAAAAACTTTAATATCTAGTCACGTTATGGGAAAAACAGGCCTAGAAGTAAAACTTACTGAACCGAACAGCTGCTCGAAAAGTATTAAAGAGTTAAAGAATGATGAATTAACAGACATGTACACTCGTTTTAATGCCAGCTCAGGCACCGAGACTCGAAGGTTCAAAATGTTAGCTGCTTCCCAGCAGTCTTTTACATCATTGAAGCAAGAAAGTGCGCAAAATGAAGTTAGTAATGAAGAACATGTTGGAAGTAAGCCTTCATCTGGTATTTTGAGAAAGCGAAAAGCTGAAGATGATTCTACACCTGTTAAAGTAAATATACATAATTTTAATTTTATTTTTTTTTGTCGAAATTGGAATATTGAGATCTTTCAAGTTATTAGTAATTCAATCCTTTAAAAAAAAATTTTTTTACTTTCGGTCCTCAAAAGTTTAAGCACACCCCTGTTTATCCAACCATTTCAGAAGGCACTGTATCTATCTGCAACAATTTTAATTGACCCTGTTTTCAAAATAAATTGCATTGTTAATGTAAGGAGACAAAAATACATGCTTAGTTTATGTTTATATAGAATTATCGAGGAAGTTTGCATTCATCAAGAAGCTCACATTTTTGTCTTGATAAGAGATCTGTTTGAGGTATTAATTTGATCAGTTTAAGCAAAGTTTGAAAAACGAATGTAACTTCTGAAACTTTGAGGAACCTCCCACTAGTCTTCTATGTTTATTGTCATCTGCTTGCAGATATCCCTGTGCAGTATATTCCGCAATAGTTAGAAATGTGATATCTGCAGATATCACATTGAAAATGTGATATCTGCTCCAATGGCTGACAAAAAGTTAAAACTTAGATTCATGGGTCCAAAGAATCCTTTTCCATTGTGCTTTGGTCCAGTTTTACTGCATTTTGTTCAGGTGCACTTTTTTTCAATGTTTGCAGCTCAAAGAAGTAGTTTCTTAACTGCAATCCTATCTGCGAACTCGCAATGATATCCTATTTTCTGTTTGAAAATTTCTTGAAAACTATTGTTGGGCTTAGACTTAAGGCTAGAGCTGTATATTTAAAAAGAAAATATTTTCAATTAAATGCTTTAAGCATGAAGTGTCAGCAATTTAAACTAAATGATTAATTGATTTAAATTGTTGCAAAATGATGAATTAAAAATCAGGAATTTTAATTCATTATTTGAATGGTTAAATCAGAAATTTTAGCCACTCAATTTAAAAAAAAGAAGAAAAAAAACATTGATTTAAATTAAGAAAAGAATGATTACGAAATTTCTTTTTTACAAGAGATTTAATGTAAATAATTAACATAATCTTTAATACTTAATTTTAAACCTTTATACTTCAGCTATTAATAATTTAATCTTGGCTTTAAAAACATTTATTTAAAAAGACATTTTTATTAAGTTTGAGATTCAAGTGTAGGATGTCAAAAATTTAAATCAAATAGTTAAAATTGGGATTTTTTATAAATTATTTCAGTAATTAAATTGACAATTTTAGCCAATTAAAGAGAGAGAAAAAACATTGATTTGACTAATCATAAAAAAATTATTACGAAATTTATTTTCTTTTTAAAGACATTTAAAGTAATTAGAATGAAAAACGGGTCTGGTTCATTTCATCGACAATCACTTCATCGACAGGCCATTTCATCGACAGGCCATTTCATCGACTAGGTCATTTCGTCGACAGGCCGTTTCCTCGACAGGATTGTTTCGTCGACAGGGTTGTTTCGTCGACAGGCCATTTCGTCGACAGGGTCATTTCGTCGACAAATCATTTCGTCGACAGGGTAATTTCGTCGACGGGGTNAATAAACCTACATAACATTTTTATATGCTGACTACCAATAAATATACACAAAACTGCCAAGTTTATTTAAAACAATAAATGGATAAAAATTTGTATGGATAGGCTTTTTATTTATATATCTCGTACTGTTTGCTATCCAATTGCAATCGTGAACTTTCCCTTGTCTGTGTATCGAAAAAGGTGATATTTTAAGCTTAAAAGATACCAATTTATGAATTTTGTAAGTTATTTTTTGACAGGTATGTTACTAATTAGTATTTACGTGTAATTTATATCATAAATTGTGCGCTCAAAATGAAGATTTCAAAGACATTACATCAGTTTTCTCTATTCTGTTACAAATGAGATTTATTTAATTACATAATTCTATATATTTGTAATTAAGTATGTATAAATTATGTTTTCCAGAAATCTAAGTCCTTAAACCATAAAATCTTTTAGTGTTTAATATTTTTACGTAACAATTCACTGAGCATATTGCATATTTTTATTGCAAAAGTGGCATAGCAAAACTTTTTTTTTTGTTCGTTATACTTTTGAGTTTTTTTTTTAAATCTTTGAATAGTTTGTAATATTAATATTTTTTGTAATATTAATAGTTTGTAATATTAATATTTTTTGTAGTATTAATAGTTTGTAATACAGTCAAACCCCGCTATAGTGAACACAGTTTATAGTGAACTCCCAGATATAGTGAACGAAATGTTCGGTCCCGTGCCTTGCTATACACGTATAATGTTATTTTTTTGTGGATATAGTGAACCAAAAATGTGAGGAAGTTGGATATAATGAACTTTTTTCTGCCTTCGACTGATTTTTTTCTTCATTTTTTTTTTGTAATAAGTTTGAAATTTCTACTTCAAAATAAATACATATACCAGTTTTTAAAACCATCTATAGAGGGGAATGTAGCGATAAGAATTTTTCTTGTTAGCTTCTTTTACTTCACTTTCCAATCCCTAAACAAACCAAGCAGATGTTTCCAACCCAGGCAGATGATGCACCTGTAAGGTGTCTGTGGGATCAATATGTATTTTCTCTCAGAGGGAATGAGTAATTATTCATAATTGGTCAAAAGGTTGGACACTAATATGTGTTGATAAGGCCCTCATTTCAACTCCTCTTTGCTCTCAGTTCAGTTAAAAAAACTGCTAACAAGTGTCTCAAATTTAACTATGGCGACCAGTAAACGTAAAACGTTCTCCATTGATGATAAAATGGACATAATCAGAAAAATTGAAAATGGATGCAATCAAGTTGATATTTGCAGTGAATATAAACTATCCAAATCTGTAGTTTGTAACAAATGGAAAAATAGGCAATTAATTATTTCTGCTCATAAAAAAAATTTCGATGGCAGAAAAAAGTTGAGAAAAGCGGATCACAAGGATGTTGAAGAAGCATCACTGAAGTGGTTCACCATTCGAAGAAGCCGCAATCTTCCAGTATCTGGACAAATGTCAATGAATTTGCTAAGCGATTTTATGAGGCAACTTTTATGTGCTTGAATGGCAGATTAGACAAGTTTAAATAGCGGAATAACAGAAATTCAGGAAAATTTATCTGAGAGTCAGGAAGTGTTTTCATATCTGATTTTGAGGATTGCTCATCACCTAAAAAATACTAATTTTTTTTTGCACGTAAGACGAAGAGTAATAAAAAATAACACATCTTTTACTACTACATAATATTTTTAAGCCATTTATTTGAATGATGTGTAATAAAAGAGAGGAGTTTGGGAATCATTAGTTAAATTGCATGCGTAACGGATATAGTGAACCCCCGGTTATAGTGAACCAAAATGTCGGTCCTTTGACGGTTCACTATAAACTGTATGTTTGACTGTATTAATATTTTTTGTAATATTAATTGTTTGTAATATTAATATTTTTTTCCGATGAAATCCTTTCAGATGCGGAAAGTAACATTTGCCTACCCTCTTGTGGAAGAAAAACTTTTCAGAAGTGATGACACTATTTGTGTTAAAGTTGTTACTGTAAATTTAAAAACAAATGAGAAAGAATTGATTAATTCATCTTCACCTGAGAAGGTAATTCTTAAATATTTTAAAATGATCATGTTTATTTATTTTGTATTTTTTATAATCTCATGTCTCAAGCACCCTAGCGCTGGGTAAAAAAAAAAAAAAAACATATTGTAAATGCTACAAACTTTTTTTTAATGGCTCTATGGTACTTTGCAGAATTTATTGTAATCGCAGGTATTGTGTTTTGTTTTAGCCCTTGTAATTCCATTGCTACCCATTGCTTGAGTGTGTATAATATTTAGTAGTATTTCATGGTGCGTAGCATTTTTAAAAAATGCTTAAAGGTGGTTATTTTCGTTTTTTAAAAGCCTTTAAATGTGCTTTTTTATTGGGTGTTAAAAAGTGCTCAATTTTCCCTTTCCGAAAATGAGTTATTTTTTTATTTTTTTTATTGTGTCGATTTTCGCCACGTATTATGCGAAAGCATGGTTTTCACATTGTTCTATTCAACGTTTTCACAATTCATTCAACACATTGCATTTCAGTGTACTGTCGGTTTGTAGTGTATGAAAGTGCCAATCATTTTACATGTTTGATGAAATACTTGCGGGTCTGCGTGTGCATATACTGAGCTGGGTTTGTCGAGATTCTTGCATTCTCGTGTACAACTCAGCTACATTTTGCAAGATATTCTAAAATTCGGGCTTCATTTTCCACCCTCTGAAAATCTCTCGATCTCTTTATGGTGGCTAATATAATCAGGAAAAGAATTCTTTGTCAGAAACTAATTATTTTATCATGATCATGTAAAGTCTTAAAAGGTGTACAAGAAGGGGAGGGCAATCATTATCGAAAACAATAAAACAAATATTTATTTAAACAAAACAACGTTCCATATTATTAGGGTGGAACCCTTCAGATTATAAAGTTATACATTAGAAGACAATTATTACAAGCCAATGCTTACTGCTTGGTGGTTCAATGTAGACTGACTATCAGCCCTCTGGCTGATAGTTCAAAATAATTAAATTTACATCTACATTTCTCAACACTCCCCACCTGATAATTTTAAAGTAAAAATTATCACAAAACAATATGCAATAGCAAAACAATAATTCTACATTATATCAAACATTATTTAAGCACATTACATATTAAAACTAAAATATAAAAATAAACACTAATCAATTATAAGAGAGTAAAATATAATTTGAAGCATCAAATTTAAAGGAATAGTAAATTATTAGAATATCATTAGAATGTTAATTATCTTTTTAAGAGGTTCTTTAATGCTTCTCATCAACCGTTCATAAAATCCTCCCCACCATGGGGCAAGTTCAACAATAAACTTCCATGCAATACCTTCAGAGGAAATGAAATTTTGAAATTCTTCTTCTCTAATAATAGAAAAGAAGTACCTTATATCTCGTGAAGCAGCTTTAAAAGTTGCTGCGTTATCAGAATGAATAGTTTTACAGTTATTTCTTCTTGACATGAAACGGCG